AGGAGGGGCCAGCCTGGCTCTTGTGCTGCCCGCATGTCTCTGCAGTTCGAGCCAGTGTAGCCTGGGAGCCCCTTCCACCATGAGCCCCAGCGTGTGCCCCTACTGTTCCCCCTCACGAGGGCCCCCGCCCCACGCTGCCCGGACTTCCCGAGATCTGCCTGGAACCCGCTCGCTGTGATGAGGCAGGGCAAGGAGCTCTCCCCAGGGAAGTCAGAGGGCCCTGGAGGGGGGGTGCCTCCTCTCCATCCTGTCCCCTCGGGGCTCCCCCAGGAGTACAAACTCTGGCCTGTCCTGCTGCCACAGTGACCATGCCAGGGTCTGCTCGGGACGGGGCGCCAAACCGACTGAAGTGGAGAAGCAGGGGGACGGACGGGGAGGGGACCCACATCTGAGCACCACCTACCAGCTGGTACGGCATGGCCCATGCGGCTCACGGTCCGGAAAGGGCCCAGCGTGTGTGCCCACCACTGCCAGTGCAGAGCGTGCCCACGGCCGAGCCCACCCAGGTCCCAGGGTGGACAGCAGGGCCTGGCAGTGCTTCCACGGTGGCACGAGCCCAGCGAGTGCTGTGCCAGGCGCCCTCGCCCACCCTGGCAGGCAGGGCCACACAGCCCTCAGACCCACCCGGCCTGGAACCTTCCTGGGGCCCCACTGTCACCTGGGCTGCTTTAGCTCGGACATGACCAGGTCTCCACGGCAGACCAGAGCGAGTTAGACCGAAGCCTGACCTGGTCCTCTGTCCCATAGGGTGTGACCAAAGGCCCCTCAGTACCCTCAGGCTCCCCAGTCCCCCTCATGCCATTCGGGCCTCGACTCCATCTCCCTTAGAGGCCTCCCCAGACCCCGTCCCTTCAGGGCAGCACCCCCACTCTGTAGCATGCCTGGGAGGGCTGAGAGGAGGGTGTGCGTGTGCAGGGCTGACCTGTCCCCCACCTGCCGCCATGCCAGCCCTGCTCAGCCTGTGAGAAACCGAGGGGCACCACTGTCTTCAAGTAGGCGAGGGGCCCAGGTGGCTGACAGCCTGTCCCGCCCGCCCAGCTGGCACTGCCAGAGTGCTCCTCACTGCACCTGGGCAGCTGAGACACCCAGACACCCCCACCTCACCCCCACAGGGCCCAGGAACAGGTGGACAATGCCCCAGCATCTCTGTAAGAGGCAGCCTGCATGTCCTCGAGGTGGTGGGGGTCGCGGGCCTGGGGACGGGCTGTGGCTGTGGCTGGGGCTGGCACAGCTCCCTGTGGAGTGGCCTGTCCCCAGCCCTGCTGGCTCTGCCTGCTCTGCTGGGCAGCATGGGTGCAGCGCCAAGACGGAGGAAGCAGCAGCAAGGCTGAGCTGGCCGCCTGTCCGTTCCCAGGCCTGAGCCTCCTGGGGCTCCGCCTGCTCGGTGTGGTGCCTCGGCGGGCAGCGGCTGGCCAAGGTCGTGCTCCCCGACCTTGCCCTGGAGACCCAGGATGTGAGGGTGCGGAAGTGGGGAAGAGGGCAGCCGGGCCTGAGGCCACAGGCTGCTGGGTCCAGCCGGGGGCTTCCCTTGACAAGCAAGCTTGCTCAGGGAGTGGGGTGGGCTGCCCAGGGATGTGGCTGCCACCAAGGGCCCTGAGCACAGACCAGACAGGCCTTGCTGGACACTGGGCACTGGGCTGCCCTGGTCACGCCCACCAGGAAGCTCAGGGCAGACCTAGGCCCCAGCTGCAGCACTCCAGGAGACTCAGGTTCAGGCCCGGGCGCTTCCCTAGTCCCCCCTGGGACCCCGTTTTTGGCCATTCCTCCGGTCTTTCCTTTCTGCACCAGGGCCCCCACTGGCAGGCCTGCTGACCCACTGGACCAGCCCCGCCCTGCCCGC